GCGAGTGAACGTATATATACGTTTGGACCGTTTAAGGGTTAAATATCCTTGGTTAGGCCTCATTTAGATTATGCTGCATAGTTTTGATCACCGTATTATAGAATGGATATAAATGCACTGGAAAACATACAAAAGAGGATGACAAAGTTGATCCCATGTATCAGAAATCTTCCGTATAGGACAGACTGAGGGCCCTGAATCTTCACTCTCTAGGAAGGCATAGACTTAGGGGGATTTGATTGAAGTGTATAAATCAACAACAGGAATAAATAAAGGGAATGTAAATAGCATGCTAAAAATATCTAGCAAGACAGACAGATTTAAGCTGTAAAAATTCAGAATCAGGAAGGATATAGGAAAGCACTAGTTTGGTAATACAGTGGACCCCCGCATACCGTTGGCATCACATAACGATTAATCCGCATACCGCTTGCTTTAATCGCAAAAATTTTGCCTCGCATACCGCTTAAAAACCCGCTCACCGATTTTCGTCCGAGACGCGTCCAATGTGCGCCCTCAGCCAGCCTCACATGTGCCGCCAGTGGCATTGTTTACCAGCCAGCCTCCGCGGTAACATCCAAGCATACAGTCGGAATATTTCGTATTATTACAGTGTTTTCGGTGCTTTTTCTGGAAAATAAGTGACCATGGGCCACAAGAAAGCTTCTAGTGCCAACCCTACAGCAATAAGGGTGAGAATTACAATAGAGATGAAGAAAAAGATCATTGATAAGTATGAAAGTGGAGTGCGTGTCTCCGAGCTGGCCAGGTTGTATAATAAACCCCAATCAACCATCGCTACTATTGGTGGTACAGCTGCTGCTGCTGCTGTAGCATCATCTGCTGCTGCTGTAGCATCGTCTGCTGCTGCTGTAGCATCGTCTGCTGCTGCTGTAGCATTGTCTGCTGCTGCTGTAGCATCGTCTGCTGCTGCTGTAGCATCGTCTGCTGCTGCTGTAGCATCGTCTGCTGCTGCTGTAACATCGTCTGTTGCTGCTGTAGCATCGTCTGCTGCTGCTGTAGCATTGTCTGCTGCTGCTGCTGCTGTAGCATCGTCTGCTGCTGCTGTAACATCATCTGTTGCTGCTGTAGCATCGTCTGCTGCTGCTGTAGCATCGTCTGCTGCTGCTGCTGCTGTAGCATCGTCTGCTGCTGCTGTAACATCGTCTGTTGCTGCTGTAGCATCGTCTGCTGCTGCTGTAGCATCGTCTGCTGCTGCTGTAGCATCGTCTGCTGCTGCTGTAGCATCGTCTGCGCTGCTGCTGCTGTAGCATCGTCTGCTGCTGCTGTAACATCGTCTGTTGCTGCTGTAGCATCGTCTGCTGCTGCTGTAGCATCGTCTGCTGCTGCTGTAGCACTGTCAGCTGCTGCTGCTGCTGCTGCTGCTGTAGCACCGTTGTTGGTGTGGCTTATTGAGAATACCAAGAAACAATTAACCCCAGAGGATTTGCCACCCAGGATAACCCAAAAAAGTCAGTGTCATCGAAGACTGTCTAACTTATTTCCATTGGGGTCCTTAATCTTGTCTCCCAGGATGCAACCCACACCAGTCGACTAACACCCAGGTGAACAGGGAAAAATGCCTGGAACTAGTGCTCATATTGGTGAATTTAAAGCCAGCAAAGGTTGGTTTGAGAGATTTAAGAATCGTAGTGGCATACACAGTGTGATAAGGCCTGTTCTGGAAGAAAATGCCAAACAGGACCTACAGTACTCAGGAGGAAAAGGCACTCCCAGGACACAGTGTCTCATCAGTCATTGCTGCATCTTCAATAAAGGTAAGTGTCATTTATTCTTCATTTAGTAGACTAGTACATGCACAATATATACTGTGCATGTACTACTCTACTATTGTGCATGTATCCTTCTCTTTGTGTGTAGGAAAATGTATATTTCATGTGGTAAAAAATTTTTTTTCATACTTTTGGGTGTCTTGCACGGATTAATTTGATTTCCATTATTTCTTATGGGGAAAATTCATTCGCATACCAATTATTTCGCATAACAATGAGCCCTCTTGCATGGATTAAAATCGTTATGCGGGGGTCCACTGTAGAGTTGTGGACGAGTGGAACAAGCTCCCGAGTACTGTCATAGAAGCGAAGATGTGTAGTTGTGGCATGCAAAGAGTACGTAACCTTTATTCGGCGCATGTACACACCCTCATTTACAGGCTATCTCCCCCAACCAGCGAACCAGGGACTGAGGGTTGACGATGGGGCCCCGTCGTTCAATCAGTACCCAGGTTCCAGCCAATGAGAAGATGGTTTTGGCAATCGCAGAGGTGATGTGGGTACCACTCGCCTGTCTGCCCTTGTCATTCCCATTCTAGAGCTGGTTGAAGCACGGTCTGCTCTCTAGTGGTCTCTATTCTGCCTTGCTTACTGTGGAGTGCACTAATACCTATTGTTGTACATAGTGTATATAGTGTACATGCTTCTGTTCTAAACTGGTGAAGGATAATATAAGTCAAAAGTTTTTCTGCTGTGTTTATTTTGCTCCCTTTACACCCAGGATAACAGGCCTTTAGGACTCCTGGGTTGTAATATGGGTAGCCTGTCCGAGAGCTGGAGCTGGACTTAGAGCACGGGTTGAGCCTAGGGTGACGCTGGAAGCAGGAATATTGTGTAGCTTGCTGTCTGGCATTGCATTAGCTTTGCCAGCGCTTTACAAACTTTGCGTGTCAATTGCCTTGCTATGGTCAGCCTTGCTATTGTATGATCGTTCAACAGCTCGCTACTAGCTTGTTCTGTGTGCTTGCTTCACTACGGTCAATCTTGTGTGAAGATTTTGCAGTCAGCTTTGCTATTGTGTATCCACCTTGCAAGCGTATGTGCATATTTTGCAATCGTACTGTGCATAGCTAAGCATGTTTTGCAAATAACATGTTACGTTGGGGTATTCTGCAATTGTACTGTGCATAGCAAATAAATTATACATTGGGGTATGCCACCTAGATGAGTCAGACGTCTGGTGTCGGCATATACTTAATTTAATTTGCCTAAATTGTCCCTACAGCGTTGTTGGCAAATTGCTCGTTCCATTGGCATTGATTACGAACGCACTCTCACAGCTGCGCAACTGCGTTCACTGATCACCGACAAGCTTTGGGAAGAGGAGATGGCACATCAGACTCCTCCCTCTACGGGAGCCAGGAATAAAACTCCGATGTTCTCGCAGGAGGAAGATGATACATCAATGGAGCAAAATCGTCAGTCTGGTGCAGCAGGGTTGTCTCAAGGTGAATCAGCGGCGTTGGCACTTGAGCTGGCAAAAATCAATCTTGAGCAGACTAGGGAGCAGAGGGCATTTGCCAAGGAAGAGTTTGATAGGGAAAAAGAAAGAAGGCAGTTTTCGCAACTTGTAAATGACTTTAGTTTACAGAAAGCAGTACAGCTTGTTCCCTGGTTCAATGAGGCCGAACCAGAACAATTTTTCGAAGCTTTCGAAAATCAGGCTCGAGCCTTGAGGTGGCCGGAACAGCATTGGGCATCGTTGGTTCACACAGCATTGTTTGGTAAGGCACAGGAATTTACGTCAGTGTTAAATGACACTGATTTTTCTGATTATAAAGTGGTGAAGACCACAGTTTTGAGAACATATACATGTATCCCAGCTACGTATAGGAAAAACTTCAAGTTAGGCAGATGACAGCTTGGTCAATCCCTGGTTGATTTTGTGCGACAGCAGACTAAAGCTTTTAGCAGCTGGTATAAAGCAAGTGGTGTTGCTGCCTTCGATGATCTTGTGCAGCTTATTCTGGCTGACAACCTGCTGGAGTCTGTGGGACCAGAGGTTCGAGTTTTTCTGCAGGATCATGACTTAACCACTGCATTGGAGGCAGCCAGGTTGGCTGATACCTTTGAAACTAACCGCTCCTTGTCCGAGTGGTCCCATCTCTCTTTTCAACAGCCTGGCATGAGCAAAGATCATCAACCCTTGGGATGTTGCCAGAGTTATGGCCAACACCGGAGAAGAATTAATCATTATGGGTTCAGGACATACACTAACAGTGGTAATGTTATTACCCAGTAATAACATGGCATCTTTCATGGGGAATCCCACGGATACACCCACAATCAAGTATCCAGTGTAATATTTGCACTGTACATAAATTCTATGCAAGGGGACAGAATATATAGCTCCTCCGAATGCTTCCAGCAAAACAGATGAGTTTAAGGAAGTGTTCTTTGAAAGGGGTAATATTCCCTCTCTTATAAGTGAGCAATATGCTCCAGTATCTCTAAAAATTTTGACTTGAGTTGTTTTGGAGTTTTCCTGAAGGGAAATAAGACTCTGACAGTAATAAGGGGCCATCCCTTTCTCTACTTCTTTCAGGGACATGTTACTAGGGATATTATAGATTTTCCCAATAGGTCGGGGTTTGTGGGGGCAGTTGGGACGGATGTGACCTACTTTGTTGCAGAGGAAGCAGACGACAGGCTTGCCCTTTACTCCCTGCTGACGTTGCAACTGGTGTCGCTCTGGGTGGTGTCTCTCTGGATACTGTTGTCGAGTTACACCATGTTGAGTGGTTTTTGTCTCTCACCAGGTGGACCATAAGTTGAGAAGTGTGGCTCACCAGGTGACTTAGTTGGCTGAAGTAGACGTTCTCCCTCCGGCTGGCACTTCATCCTCCAAGGTTAACGATCTCTTTAAAAATAGGTTGGATAAATACATGAGTGGGTGTGGGTGGGTGTGAGTTGGACCTGACTAGCTTGTGCAAACAGGTCTGATGCCGTGCTCCTTCCTTAAATGGATGTGGCCTGACGTGACTAGGTATGTCATTGGTTTAAGCCGGGAGGTGACTTGGACCTGCCTTGCATGGGCCAGTAGGCCTGCAGCAGTGTTCCTTCTTTCTTATGTTCTTATGTCTGACTTTTTTTGGGTTATCCTAGGTTCTCTACACATGTGCTGCTATGTATGATAATCTATGTAACTGTATTTGTGTATACCTGAAAACTTACTTATTTGTATTTTAAAGGTTTTATTTTTTCCAGGTCACAATGTTCTTCACATAGATTATCACTATTCCAAAAACTACATTTATTGGATTGAGTTCAATCAAGGAGGTTCCAATGGCATTTACCGATCAAGACCCAATGGTTCTGATTACGAAGGTGTTGTCACAGATGGTATTGGCGCTAACGGAATCCGTGGCATAGCTATTGATTGGATTGCCAACAACATGTATTTCACTAATGTGTTCCCTCATGAAACTTATGTTGAAGTGTCTTGGCTGGATGGAACCAACAGGATGGTTTTGAAGAGTTTAACAAAGGACTCACCTAGAGAACTGGCAGTTAATCCAATTAAGAGGTAAGAAATTACATTAAATATTAGTATATTTTTTTTTTTTTTTTTTTGTAAAGGTGGTCTCAGGTCTTTTGTTTAGGCATGGAAAGAGGATGGAGCAGACGTGGACTGCCAGGTCTAATTGAACTATCTAAATTACACATGGCATTTCACATAAGGTTTCCATATTATCATTATTTCATTTGGTTGTTCATTTACTTCTAATAAATGTAGATTGCAATAGAAATCTTCTTTCAACAAACTGGCCATATCCCACCGAGGCTGCAGTAGAAATATAGTTTAGTAAATTAGATTTTATTAAAGTTTATTGTGTAGTTTTCCTGATCCACATTTATATGTAATGTGTAAGTTGAAGAAAAACCAGCAAATGGATCATGGTGATAACTATGTAATATTGTAAACAGTTCTGTGAGACTGTGATATGAACAGTTGACTCTTTCATGTGTAACTTAGAAGTGTTTGTATTCTGCTCTTGTATTTTACAAAGGTGATGAATGGTTCTCTCATTACATATCAACAGTATTCAGTACAGGAGGGCCCCGCTTGTACTACAGGTTAGGTTCCTGGCTACTGCTGTAAAGTGAAATCACTGTTAAGTGAAACACAGCCTTTTTTCACTTTCAAATGCATATAAAAGACTGATAACATGTTTACACCATCATATATCTAGTGAGCAATAGAGCTAGGCCTTAAAAATGCATATACAGTACACGAAAGATTGGATATCAGATTGGAGGGAGAGTGAATGGAGGAGTTGAATGTTTTCAGATATTTGAGAGTGAACGTGTCAGCAGATGGGTCTATGAAAGATGAGGTGAATCATAGAATTGACGAGGGGAAAAGGGTGAGTGGTGCATTGAGGAGACAAAGAACTTGATCCATGGAAGCAAAGAGGGGAATGTTTGAGAGTATAGTTATACCAATGTTCTTATATGGGTGTGAAGCATGGGTGGTGAATGTTGCAATAAGGAGAAGGCTGGAGGCAGTGGAGATGTCATGTCTGAGGGCAGTGTGTGGTGTGAATATAATGCAGAGAATCTGTAGTTTGGAGATTAAGAGGAAGTGCGGGATTATCAAAACTATTATCCAGAAGGCTGAGGAGGGGTTATTGAGGTGGTTTGAACATTTAAGAGAGGAAGGAACAAAATGAATTTCGATAGTGTATAAATCTGTGGTGGAGGGAAAACGGGGTAGGGGTCGGACTAGGAGGTGGTAAAGGGAAGTTTAAAGGAGGTTTTGTATGCAAGGGGCTTGGACTATCAGCAGGCATGCATGAGTGTGTTAGGAGCGAATGGAGACAAATGGTTTTTAGGACTTGACATGCCGTTGGAGTGTGAGGAAGGTAACATTTAAGAACAGATTTAAGGAAACCAGCAGGCAGGATGTGAGTCCTGGAGATGGGAAGTACAGTGCCTGCACTCTGAAAGAGGGGTGTTAATACTGCCGTTTTGTAACTGTAGTGTAAGCATGCCTCTGGCAAGACAGTGATGGTGTGAATGATGATGAAAGTTTTTCTTTTTCAAGCCACCTTGCCTTGGTGAGAAATGGCCATTGTGTTAATAAAAGAAAAAATAAAACATTATTGACCTTAACCCTTTGAGGGTCCAAGAATTTAAAAAAAAAAAAACAAAAAGTATGAAATTTGATGGAAAATTGACGAAATTACACTACTGCGAATTTGTGTCAGCGATATTTACACATTGGCAATTTTGCCCAATTTGACTCCTATTTTAGGCCAGTTACATTATTTCAGTCTACCAAATTCTTAGCTATTTTGCTACTATTACTTCTATTTTATTGACTGAGCACAAGAAACTACCCAATAAAGTGATCAGAAATTGGTAATTTGGCCAATTTCACACCAAGTTCAAAATATTCCAATTTCAAAATAGGGTCCAGAATAAACAGTGCAGGCATTCCTGGCACTAAAATAACATTTCGTCTGTTTATTAGTTATATTTCCAGGCTTTACAGATGAATTCCATTTTGATTTTTTATTTACATAAAGAATTTTTATTCACACCAAAAAATAGAAGATTTACTATTATGCAGTTATGTAATATCGTAATAATGTATAAATAATATCAGCACATTCATGAACGTATATTAGACCTGCCAATTGATGTGTATTGGATGCGTGACCTCATTTGTTTACTCATGAACATTGGCAAAAGCTGAACATTTCCGCTAATTTGAGCTCAATTTCAAGCTATTTTCAATACTAAAACCAATCAAAATCATCTCTGTTTCTGTAATATATCTTCCATTCTATCAAATGAGACCAAGAAACCGTGAATACAACTGTAAAAACCACATGAAAGTACACCGCAAAGTCGGTGTTTTAATCCAGAAAACACAGTTGCATTTTTTTCGCATTATGCACTGTGTACTGCAGGATTTGTTTTATATGGTGTACACTTACCACATAGATGTACTCTCTCATATCTAGGCCCAAATTTACCACTCACGGCTTAATTATCTGAGTGAACTGAGCTCATAACGTAGATCTACAGCTTGGACCCTCAGAGGGTTAAAATATTTTAGTATTTAGCTTATAGTGAGTGGTGAATATATTTATTTTAGGAACCCTGAATAAATAAAGAATGGGTATAATTGAAAACTGCTGTAATAATAATAATAATAATAATAATAATAATAATATCTTTATTTACTACAAGTACATGGTATGCAGGCCTAGCTGACATCAATTATGTACTACTATATAGAAAGGCGCTTGTTATGCTGAGCATTTCGAGCAAATTAGGTCAGTTTTGTCCCAGGATGTGACCCACACCATTCGACTAACACCCGGGTACCCATTTTGAACTGATGGGTGAACAGGGACAGGGACAGCAGGTGTCTTATGGAAACATGTCCCTAATGTTTTCCAGCCGTACCGGAGGCGATTTGATCCCCGGACCTCAGTGTGTGAGCTGAGTGCGCTAGCGATTGGACAAAGCACTGCAAAGCAGGGCCTACCTATATTTTAGTTGTCATTTATTTCATGACCTTTTATAAAGTTAATTGTTGTAAAACATGCACATGAAATGTAAACCTTGAAAATTAAGACTTTTTTTATAATATAATTCTAAAAAAATTTTTCCTTTCTTTTACCAGGTACTTGTACTGGCTTGATTATGGTCAGTTCCCCATGATAGGCAGATCATTCCTTGATGGTACAAACTGGAAACCAATTGTGACTCAAGGGATTAGTAATCCACGTGACCTCACCATTGATATGTTTTCCCATGATGTCTACTGGGTTGATGCTAACCTAGATGCCATCAACAAAGTTAGTAATCATCTATTTAAAATAAAATATACAGTGAACCTATACTCTACCACTTTACTAATGACAGATCTCTAGAGTGCACATTTTTGCTAATGATTTTAAATGTACTGTATAAAAGTTGCCATAAATCACCCTTATTTTCCCAACAGAAATTGACTTAAAATACAGTGGACCCTCGCTAATGCCTTTAATCCATTCCAGAGAGCTAGCCTTTAGCCGATTTAGCCTTTAGCCGAATTAATTTTCCCCATGAGAAATAATGGAAATCCACCTATGACTGCTGCACCTCTCCTGCCTACAGTATATAATCCACTTCTTCGCATATATGCTGTATTCTTTTCAAGATTGATGTACTGATTACATCGACTCAAGGCTGAGGGACTGATTACTTCAAACTCCTCCTGTTCTTCATCATTCTCCTTTGTATGGATTGATGAAGCCACTGTGTGGCGAAATGTTTCCTCATTAAAGATACCCAAGAGTTGCACTTATGTCTAATTTATCATATTCAGTAAACTTATTCCCCTACAATTTTTACAATATCTTTTGTCCCCCTTCCCTTTATATAAAGGAACTATGCATGCTCTCTGCCAATCCCTAGGTACCTTTCCCTCTTTCATACATTTATTAAACAAAAGTATCAATCACTCCAACACACTATGTATGTATGTATGTATGTATGTATGTATGTATGTATGTATGTATGTATATATATATATTTTTTTTTATTATCACACTGGCCGATTCCCACCAAGGCAGGGTGGCCCGAAAAAGAAAAACTTTCACCATCATTCACTCCATCACTGTCTTGCCAGAAGGGTGCTTTACACTACAGTTTTTAAACTGCAACATTAACACATTATAATTATAATTATATATATATATATATTAGAATGTGGGGCAGAAGTTTGTGGTTATAGGAGGGTGGGGGCAGGAGGAAAGAGGAGTGATTGGTGGAATGATGAAGTAAAGGGTGTGATAAAAGAGAAAAAGGTAGCTTATGAGAGGTTTTTACAAAGCAGAAGTGTTATAAGAAGAGCAGAGTATATGGAGAGTAAAAGAAAGGTAAAGAGAGTGGTGAGAGAGTGCAAAAGGAGAGCAGATGATAGAGTGGGAGAGGCACTGTCAAGAAATTTTAATGAAAATAAGAAAAAATTTTGGAGTGAGTTAAACAAGTTAAGAAAGCCTAGGGAAAATATGGATTTGTCAGTTAAAAACAGAGTAGGGGAGTTAGTAGATGGGGAGATGGAGGTATTGGGTAGATGGCAAGAATATTTTGAGGAACTTTTAAATGTTAAGGAAGAAACAGAGGCAGTAATTTCATGCACTGGTCAGGGAGGTATACCATCTTTTAGGAGTGAAGAAGAGCAGAATGTAAGTGTGGGGGAGGTACGTGAGGCATTACGTAAATTGAAAGGGGGTAAAGCAGCTGGAACTGATGGGATCATGACAGAAATGTTAAAAGCAGGGGGGGATATAGTGCTGGAGTGGTTGGTACTTTTGTTTAATAACTGTATGAAAGAGGGGAAGGTACCTAGGGATTGGCAGAGAGCATGTATAGTCCCTTTATATAAAGGGAAAGGGGACAAAAGAGACTGTAAAAATTATAGAGGAATAAGCTTACTGAGTATACCAGGAAAAGTGTACGGTAGGGTTATAATTGAAAGAATTAGAGGTAAGACAGAATGTAGGATTGCGGATGAGCAAGGAGGTTTTAGAGTGGGTAGGGGATGTGTAGATCAGGTGTTTACATTGAAGCATATATGTGAACAGTATTTAGATAAAGATAGGGAAGTTTTTATTGCATTTATGGATTTAGAAAAGGCATATGATAGAGTGGATAGAGGAGCAATGTGGCAGATGTTGCAAGTATATGGAATAGGTGGTAAGTTATTAAATGCTGTAAAGAGTTTTTATGAGGATAGTGAGGCTCAGGTTAGGGTGTGTAGAAGAGAGGGAGACTACTTCCCGGTAAAAGTAGGTCTTAGACAGGGATGTGTAATGTCACCATGGTTGTTTAATATATTTATAGATGGGGTTGTAAAGGAAGTAAATGCTAGGGTGTTCGGGAGAGGGGTGGGATTAAATTTTGGGGAATCAAATTCAAAATGGGAATTGACACAGTTACTTTTTGCTGATGATACTGTGCTTATGGGAGATTCTAAAGAAAAATTGCAAAGGTTAGTGGATGAGTTTGGGAATGTGTGTAAAGGTAGAAAGTTGAAAGTGAACATAGAAAAGAGTAAGGTGATGAGGGTGTCAAATGATTTAGATAAAGAAAAATTGGATATCAAATTGGGGAGGAGGAGTATGGAAGAAGTGAATGTTTTCAGATACTTGGGAGTTGACGTGTCGGCGGATGGATTTATGAAGGATGAGGTTAATCATAGAATTGATGAGGGAAAAAAGGTGAGTGGTGCGTTGAGGTATATGTGGAGTCAAAAAACGTTATCTATGGAGGCAAAGAAGGGAATGTATGAAAGTATAGTAGTACCAACACTCTTATATGGGTGTGAAGCTTGGGTGGTAAATGCAGCAGCGAGGAGACGGTTGGAGGCAGTGGAGATGTCCTGTCTAAGGGCAATGTTTGGTGTAAATATTATGCAGAAAATTCGGAGTGTGGAAATTAGGAAAAGGTGTGGAGTTAATAAAAGTATTATGTCAGAGGGCAGAAGAGGGGTTGTTGAGGTGGTTTGGTCATTTAGAGAGAATGGATCAAAGTAGAATGACATGGAAAGCATATAAATCTATAGGGGAAGGAAGGCGGGGTAGGGGTCGTCCTCGAAAGGGTTGGAGAGAGGGGTAAAGGAGGTTTTGTGGGCAAGGGGCTTGGACTTCCAGCAAGCGTGCGTGAGCGTGTTAGATAGGAGTGAATGGAGACGAATGGTACTCGGGACCTGACGATCTGTTGGAGTGTGAGCAGGGTAATATTTAGTGAAGGGATTCAGGGAAACCGGTTATTTTCATATAGTCGGACTTGAGTCCTGGAAATGGGAAGTACAATGCCTGCACTTTAAAGGAGGGGTTTGGGATATTGGCAGTTTGGAGGGATATGTTGTGTATCTTTATATGTGTATGCTTCTAGACTGTTGTATTCTGAGCACCTCTGCAAAAACAGTGATAATGTGCGAGTGTGGTGAAAGTGTTGAATGATGATGAAAGCATTTTCTTTTTGGGGATTTTCTTACTTTTTTGGGTCACCCTGCCTCGGTGGGAGACGGCCAACTTGTTGAAAAAACAAAAAAATAAAAAAAAAATATGTATACGTGTATATATATATATATACGTATATATCTATATATATACTATATATGTAGGTTGGTAGACAGCAATCGCCCAGGGAGGTACTACTATCCTGCCAAGTGAGTGTAAAATAAAAGCCTGTAATTGTTTTACAAGATGGTAGGATTGCTGGTGTCCTTTTTTCTGTCTCATGAACATGAAAGACTTCAGGTACATCTTGCTACTTCTACTTACACTTAGGTCACACTACACATACATGTACAAGCATATATATACACACCCCTCTGGGTTTTCTTCTATTTTCATTCTAGTTCTTATTCTTGTTTATTTCCTCTTATCTCCATGGGGAAGTGGAACAGAATTCTTCCTCCGTAAGCCATGCGTGTTGTAAGAGGCGACTAAAATGCCTGGAGCAAGGGGCTAGTAACCTCTTCTCCTGTATATATTACTAAATGTAAAAGGAGGAACTTTCGTTTTTCCTTTTGGGCCACCCCGCCTCGGTGGGAGTGAGATACAGCTGGTGTGTTGAAAGAAAGAAAGATATATATGTAGGTTGGTAGACAGCAGCCGCCCAGGGAGGTACTACCGTCCTGCCAAGTGAGTGTAAAACGAAAGCCTGTAGTTGTTTTACATGATGGTAGGATTGCTGGTGTCCTTTTTTCTGTCTCATGAACATGCAAGATTTCAGGTATGTCTTGTTGCTTCTACTTACACTTAGGTCACACTACACATACATGTACAAGCACATATATACACTCCCCTCTGGGTTTTCTTCTATTTTCTTTCTAGTTCTTATTCTTGTTTATTTCCTCTTATCTCCATGGGGAAGTGGAACAGAATTCTTCCTCCGTAAGTCATGCGTGTTGTAAGAGGCGATTAAAATGCCAGGAGCAAGGGGCTAGTAACCCCTTCTCCCGTATAAATTACTAAATTTAAGAGAAACTTTTGTTTTTCTTTTTGGGCCACCCTGCCTTGGTGGGATACGGCTGGTGTGTTGAAAGAAAGAAAGAAAAGGAGAAACTTTCGTTTTTCCCTTTGGGCCACCCCGCCTCGGTGGGATACGGCCGGTGTGTTGAAAGAAGAAAGATATATCCCCCCCTCCCCCCTGCATTTAACATTTCTGTCTTGATCCCGTCATTTCCAGCTGCTTTACCCCCTTTCATTCTATGTAATGCCTTATGCACTTCCCCCACACTCACATCCTGCTCTTCTTCACTCCTAAAGGATGTTATACCTCCATGGGCAGTGCATGAAATTACAGCCTTCCTTTCTTCATCGACATTTAAAAGTTCCTGCAAGTATTTATATTAAGCTAATGAAATATACAAAATAATACACATGTGTTCAGTATTTTAACTTGTACATATTTAATTAAGTTTTAATTTCAGTACTTAACCAACAAATGTTGATATTTGCAGGTCAGTTTTAGTGGTGGAAACCGGCAGTTTATTCGTCGTTATTTACCAAATCCTATGGGTCTTGCTCTTCACAATAACTATGTCTACTGGATTGACCGTAACCTTGGTACTATCTTCCGAGCATCCAAATACCCTGGCAACACAACACAGTCAGAACGATTCAAGACTAATATGAATAATCTTAGAGATATTGCCATTTTCGATGTCAGCAATCAGCCATCAAAGGTGAGTGGAATAATATGATAGAAAATAAAAGGAACAGAGCAGAGGTTGCTGTGGGAATTTTCTGTTTATTTTTATACAGCTTATTCATCAAGAAATATCTTAATTTATAACTCAGTGGTCAGATGAATCTGCTCTAATATGAATCCTCCCAGGATCTATTCCTGGGTAAGAGAGACAGATGAGCATGTCTTCTTACATCTGCTGCCTCAGTTCACCAGTTAGTAAACAAATACTGTCCCTAAGAGTTAGTCATATCTTATGTTTTATGTCCAGGGCCAGTCTTTGATATGAGCTGGAGTATGCTAACAGCCTATTGCAAAAGACTTGTAAAACATATATAATTCTGTGTATGGGTTCTATCTTTTTTTTTACCTCTTAAATCACTAGTTTTTGGTGACCTCCATACATACTTTTTTTGAGCTCTTTACAGCTTTCCACCAGTTATTTGTAGTGTTCATGTTCTATGCCATCCTGGGGTCTTCCTAATGGTGTAATGCCTTTCTCACAATCATTCCATGTCAATTAAATTCTTCTCATGGCCTTAACAGAAAATTCTTTCTCTATAAACAAAATCGAACAGTTAAGTGATGGGCCTTAACTATGTGATAAAGTTTGCATTAGGCCCATTGGTTCCTCCAAACTGTAGAAGGGTGATAGCCATACTCTCTTTATTATGGTATAAACCTTGGTTATAAATTCTGACAAGTTGGTTTAGAAAAACATGTAAGCAAACACTAGGACATATTTATTACAAAATGTTTCGGTCCTGGGACCTTGATCACTTCTAACATACAGTGGTTGAAGGACAATGTATATAGGCAGCTATATATACTGTCTTTCAACCTCTGTATGTTAGAAATGATCAAGATCCCAAGACCAAAATGTTTTCTAATTAATATGTCCTAGTGTTTGCTTGTGTGTTTTTCTAAACCATCTCTTCATTATATAAACACTGCAAATAGGAAAAACTAGTAATTTTTGTGCATCACTGGTAGTGGAAGATTTCATGTAACTTTCAAGGGTACAAAAAAAGTCCTTAGATGATCTGTCATTGGTTGAAGAGGATGATTACCAAGTAGTGTCACATAACCAACAGCTTCACACACTTACAAATTAAAGACAGCCTCCTTAATGGATATAGTTCAAGATCCATACCAACTCTCTACATGCACTACAGTTATCATTCTTCATATTGTGTCTTCATGCCCATACTCCATTCATGCTAAGACTATTCCATAAATCTGTACAAGCCATTCCAACATATGCCCATTTAGAGCAATTTTCATAGAGGCTTCAACTTTCATCTCAACGAAGTTCGTTGGCTAGGCATCTAGGCCTTCAATCTGCTCCATGGATTTTCATCCAAATCTGCCACCCTAAGATTAACAGCACAGGTCCTAGGGCTTGTTACTATTGTTAATTTTTGCATGACACCCTAATAGTGAGCCCAACTTCACTTATGATGTTCATTATCTCAGGAGAGCGGTCAAGACATTTCGGACTATGGAGTTTTCTCAGAAATTGTAAAAATTTAGGGTCCATCTCAGTCCTTGCCTTAGTAGTGCAGTATAACTTTCTGATACTGTATATTAAACATACAATAGCGACTGCTAAGTCAGATGCAGGATTTTGCTTCCAAAGATTTGTATGTTCCATATATTCTCCCCTGGTCCTCTGAGAGAGAGAGCAACCTTGAGGACCTGGCCCTTTCCAACCAGTTTGAGTTTTTTGATGATTGCTCTGAGGATACTTTTGCAAGCTGCATCTGCTTCCCAGTGTTAAGCTGTGTGGATAAAATGGGCTGACTTTGTTGGTGGCATCCTCAACCATAGATTTTAATGAGGCAGTAGCTACCTAGAGCTTGTTTGGCTCAGAAGGTTTCTCAAGTAACGGGATTGCTGGGGTATTAAGCCCCATATTGAAGGTACAGTATTGATGTTCTTTTTCATACTATGGCCTATCAGTACTATTCTGTTTGCATGAGACTAAACTTTGCATTGGAGTTGTCCCTGGGTTCTTGTATGATTTTTATGTCTATGCATCTCTCTTGGCACAGTTGCTAAGGAGATGCAGGTATCTTGGCCCATGCTGCTATCCATTACTGTCAGATTCATCTCCACTCTTTGATGCAGGCTTACAAGGGTACTTGAATGTAGCTGTACATTACTCTGAACTGAGTTTTGGTCTACTCTGCCTTGACTGACCTGGTCTGTGAACTACCCACCAATTCCTCCTTGGTGACTTTGATGCCTACTAGTTTATGGGATATGTTACACAAATAACCCGCACATAGAAGAAGGGAGCTTACGACAACGTTTTGGTCCGACTTGGACCATTTACTAAGTCACACATTTATGGGATGTGGGTTGCTCTGTGCTAAGCAGGAAGGGTGATCTGGAGTTATTGTTAACCTGTTTGGATATTTGCATTCTGAATGACAGGTCCCCAACCTATTATAATGTTCATTTGGTGGCATTCTAGGTATATATTTCACTGTTGCAGTATCTGGTTATCATGAATATAGATTGTCTGTGTTTTTTAAAGATTATTTTTCTCTCCAGCCGGAAGTCAGCAGGATCCTTCCCTCTAGTTTGCCCTCTATACTGGAAGCTAAAGGCAGCAAACTGGTGACTCTTTGAGGCTTGGGCACATATCTCTTGTACAATTGGTGCTTCCTTCAGTGTGCAGTGGGCTTATGGCTGTTTCATGAATGTCAGCCTTGGAAGAGTAGGAGCTAGCGGTCTCTGGTTGAGTGGCCTGAGTTCCTGATTGCTAGTTTCTTGGTAGAGCAAAGACTGAGAAGAACTGCCGGATTGTGTATATGGTTTATCACTGCCTTGGGGACCATTATTCACAGTCAGCAACCTGATTTATCTTCAGTTTTTGGTTATAAAGATGGTGTTTAGACATGCTGGATGGACATTCTGGGCCAATTATGAGGACCATTACAGCCATTCTATAATTATGTGGATGGATGTGGAATAGCATTTGAAAGATATGTAAGAAAACTCTTCATTCCACTATCAAACCTTTTATATTTTTATCATGGGCATGTAGTAGATGGCCCTTTGGAGGTGGCCAGCACCTTGGCTGAGGGCTTTTCTGTCTCTAGTGTTAGAAGCTACAGTTAAGAGTTTCAGGCTAAGGTTCAGGAGATAGTCGTCTTGCCCTTTGTGGAGGATGCTGAACTATGGTTTGAAAAGGGGAATTGTTAGCTGCCTTATTGGTGTTCCTCTCCATTTCTCTAAGAGAGCATGGTGTTCATTATATGCTTTGGTAACTCTTCTTCTTCAAGTCTGACTGGTACTCTTAATTACTGTCTGATTTCACTTGATGAGCAGCATTTGCAAGTTCTTGGAGAGGACCTTGAAGTTCATATGATTAAGCACTTTTAAATGAAAGGCTGCAGCTCTCTGGTGCAGGTTGGCATCTGCAAGTTTGATGACTAATTCCTTGGTTCAACTGGCTGATGAGATCCAAAAGGTTTTTCACAGCTACCTTCACACTTTGGTGGTCTTCAACCCAGAGGAAGCTTATGACACTGTTTGTTTTTTTCCCCTTTTTTTTAACTTTGATGGTAGGATTCTCACTACTGCTCATGTAGGGTAGTTAAAAAAAGGTTGGGACGCAACCACCCAGGGAAGACACCGCCCCTGCCAGATGACTGTGAAACAAAAACCTGTAATGTTTTGCTGATGGTAGGATTGTGGTTTTTTTTTTCTTTTTCTGTCTATAAACCGCTAAGATAACGGGGTATCTTGATCCTACTTCATTTTGGGGTCACATTCACAGACACGAAATCCCTATATATATAACATCTCTATTTTTTTCCTTTTTCTAAATAGCTTTGTTTTTTTTATTTCTTCTTTTGTCCATGGGAAGTGGAAAAGAATCTTTCCCCCTAAGCCATGCGTGTCGTATGAGGCGACAAAAATGCCGGGACAAGGGGCTAGTAAAACCTTCCTGTATACAATTACTAAAAAAAAAAAGGGAAAAAAAAACTTTTTAAAACTGGGTTCTTTAAAAGTGCTGGGTGTAGTGCGGTTAAAGAAACAGATGATTGCGAGTTTTGAATGAAAAGAGTTGGGTGTCCCGGGCCCCAAGCGAAACAAAGCTGAAGGGGGAGGAAGTTTCAGTGGGGGGAAAAAATGGATTAAATTGATATTGAGAGAGTTTGACAAAGGAGGGTAGCGTAATGTTAAAAAGATCATTATGGAAAGGGGAAAAGAGAAAGAATGTGTAAATTTTAAGAATTAGTGGATTAAAGTAAAGGTTGGTGCGAGAAGTGGGTCATAATAAACGTGTTTTTCACCGGAAAGAGAGGAATCAGAGGAGAGAAGAGATTTTGGGGGATTTAAGTGAATGTATAGGAGCCTTTGAACCAAGTGAGAAGAATTGTGGTAGGGGACTTGAATGCTAAAGAGGAGAAACTTTTAGAGAGGGGGTGGTAGGTAAGTTTGGGGTCCAGGTGAAATGATAATGGGAGCCCTTTTTATTGAAATTTTTTTAGAAAGGGGTTTAGTTATAGGTAAAATATTTTTAAAAAAAAGAGGATAAAAAAGAACACATATGAGTAGGGCGAAAGCAGTAGTTTGTTTGGGTTATGTATTGGGAATAAAAGACTGTTTAGTAGACTTAAAGGTGTACTGTTTATGGGGGCCACGAATTAGATCACTTTCGTTGTAGCTACACTGAGAGTAAAAGTAGATGGGATACAAGGGGAAAGAACTCAGGAAGAGAGAGTAAGGGTTTTTAAACTAAAAGAGGGGGCATTAGGGTAAAATTAAACGTATTGGAATAGATGGGTTTAAAAGAGCATAGGCAATGGGGGGCGAAGGTATGGGGTAGGGTTTAAAAATGTAGTGTTAGATGTTCACAGAAGTTTTTGGTTCAGGAAAGTGGGGGCAGGAGGGAAGAGGAGCGATTGGGGGAAAGATATGTTAAAGGAGTATAAAGGGGGAAAAAATTAGCATTGAGAATTTTTACAAAATGAATGATGC